AGTGGAAAGCAAATGGATATTTACTAGTTTTTAGTACATAATTAAATAAACAGAGTTTAAATATAAACATGAAACAAACTATGCAACTTAAAATGTTTAAGCCAACCACGTTTTATTATGATTAAAAAGCAATAACTAGAAAAATGTTTTATTTAGATTTCAACGAATTACTTCAAAGTAAACTGGATTAAATTTACATTAAATACAAGTAGATCTTGTCTATTTTAAAACCATATAAAGGGGACTTTTAAGTAGTTAAACTACGGTAAGTTTGGGTTTTCATAAAATCAATGTTTCTTCACGATTTATTTTGCAACTCCTCAACTGGATTAAAGATACCACACTTTCGGATAAACTTCCTTGTTTGATTAACTTTATGTCAATATTAATTATATCGAGTTTATATTGCCTCTAATTGAGTGAAAATATTATTAGTACGGTAAAATTAGGAATCGACCCCGATATTTTTACTCGATTAGTGATGAATCTCAACTTACTCTGCAACAGACCAAACTTAATTAATACAATCTTAAAACTCATCAAACAAACAACTTTTTCTAAAAGTTTGGTATCTTCAGTCCAGTTGTGGGGTTACAAAATAAATCGGGAAGTATTCATGATTTTATGAAAACCCAAACTTACCGTAGTATAATTGCTTAAAAGTTTCCTTTAAATGGTTTTAAAAAAGACAAAATTTACTTTACTTTAATGTAAATTTAATCTAGTTTACTTTGAAGCAATTGGTTGTAACCTAAATAAAATATTTTTTTAGTTATTGCCTTTTATTCAACATAAACCGTGGTTGACTTAAAAATTACAAAATTTATATTATTCTGTTGTCAATGACTTTCAAGAAAAATTAAAATAAAGAAACTTTTAATAATAATTTGAACGATCTAAAATGTTAACAAAATAATTTTAACGGCGCTTTTCTCTTTTTTGTGGGTAGCCAACGAAACTGAGCCGTCAGGCTCCAGTGTGTAAGATTCATTCGGGTAAAGTCAGCTGGAGAGGACTAATTTAAATGTTTTTGCATTTGGATTAAAATATCTCAGAAATTAAAAATCGAACATGCGTACTGCATGCAAAGGAAATGTTCAGCACTTCGTCCTCTTTGAATGAGCTATTATCGACATTTTTATCTTAACGAGAAGCCGTGTTAAGGAGCCAAAAAGGAAAAAAAAAAATGTCGAAAACCAAATTGTAACGAATTTTATTGAAGATTTGGATTAAAATATCTCAGAAACTAAAAATCGGACCTGCATTCTGTAAGCGGAGGAATTGTTCAGCATTTTATTCTCTCTGTAATAGGATATTAATCAAACTTGTATCTTAATGCGATGCCATGTAAGCGAGGAAAATGTTTAGCATTTCATTCTCTTTATAATGGGCTGTCATTTATATTTTAGATTATTAATCTCTAATTTTGATGTTTTCGCTTCTATCGTGTGGTCTAGAGCACACATCTTATTTTTTTTTAATTGATTTTAAACACAATCGTATTTTAAAACATTTGCCTCTGATATCAATCTCACAACAATTAATCCAGGACAGCAAGCTTTTCTTGGACAAATCTTTTCTTGATCGAATACAATGGTTCATTATTGCTAACAAAATCAAATCTAGATAATAGGGAATTCCTTGAGCCAGAGGGACCTAGGCATGTTTCATGACAACGATTAAGAACACACATGTATTTATGAATAAATGAAATTATTGATGTATCAATTTTATAAATAATAAATTAACGAATACATGCACGACTATTTATTAGAATTAAAAAATAAATCAGTGATAAAATATTCTGAGATATCTATGATATAAGTTGTAGCGGGGAAGAGAATGAACAGACGGTTAACCACCCTCACAATGTAGGTCGTAATTCATTTGGCTCGGCCAGACGTCTTGGCTCCAAACCAGCTTACTCTAACTCACTTCTCGTATTCCACTTACAGAAGAATTTCAAAACAAGATAGGATGGTCTATAGCAGAGGTTTCCGAACTACGGCTAGAACCTCCAATCCGCGAAGATATATTTGATTACATGGTAATTTAAAAAAAAAAAATTATAAACAAATTAATTTTATTCTAATACGAATTACTAATGCGAAAGGTTACTAAAACATTTATTGTATGGCTTTTTTATATCTTAAGGTAGTATTTCGCTGGTACTGCCCACGGAAGCGACCACTATTACACGCTGTCAGCCGCGATTGCGTATTACTTCACAGAAACAACTGGAGTTGCTATAACGTGTCTATAACACTTCGTTATAATTTTGAAGATAAAAAAATGGACTCAATATCTCTTACTGCCGATTTTTTATTAGAAGAGGAAGAAGAAGAAGAGGAAATAAAGATGCGGATATGTTGATAAAGAGGCGGAATATCAGAAATATATTCCCAACAAGCACGGGCGGATCTACGGGAGGGGGAGGGGGGCTTTCGGGCTGAAGCCCCCCCATGGTAAAATATAACCATGTTTTATCGAAAAAAATATTAAAAAAGTATCTCTTAAAGTATTATTGTTCGTGTGATTAATATTAAAAGGGCTTTAGGAATCACTTAAACACCATTTCATAGAGGTAGTTAGTTTCTTTCTTTTTTTCTAAAGCAATTATCGTTATTTTTATGGAAAAAAAAACTTTCGGGCTGAAGCCCTCCCCCCAAAATTAAATCCTGGATCCGCTAGTGCCAACAAGAAAGCGAGAAGGGTTTTATACGAAATTGATAACTACCCATTTGATGGCTGACAAAGAGAATTTTAGACATTTTTATTAGATTGAATAAATATCAATTCAATTTTGTTTTGACATGATTGATTATAATTAAATATCATAAATTTGTAATGAAATATCACAGCAGGCGATGTTTTATTGTTTTATCATATAGTAATCAGTAAATCAACACTTTCATCAGAAATTACAGATCGATTTTTGAATGTGTGGATTTTAGTATTTACCTGACGTTAAAACTTGTTGGATTATTTAATTTATTTAATGTCGTTTAGATTTAAGTATGTATGAATTTCGCTGTTGGTGGAATAAATAAATAAATAATCTTGTTACTTCAAGATTTACTATTTCGTTGTTTACAATTTAAACAATATTTCTTATAATTTTGCCAGACTTGAAAGAAACATAAGAAATAATACATATCAAGGTGACTGTTATCATCAAAACAATGCTCTGATATGATAACATAACTAACAACCGCCGAACCGCCAACAGTGCCACTACTTCAGGAGTGGTCAGATAAGAGATTTAAAATGAATCACTTCTTATATTATTTGATGTTTAGCAATTTACTTATGTTGTTTTAGATATAAAATATGAAATTTTTTCTCTTCCGTAAATGTTAATTTATTTATCTGTACAACGTTTCGGACTCTTTGCCTATCTTCAGAGGCATTTCTTTTCATAATTGGTGTTGTTATAACACTTCGCTTAGATTTCGTCTAAATTCCTCTTTCTTTCTTCACATATTTAGGGGTAATCGAAATGGTGTTAGAACAACGTCCAATATAAATAGTGCCTCTGAAGATAGGCAATGAGTCCGAAACGTTGAACAAATAAATAAATTAACATAGACAGAAAACAAAAAAATTCATTCTTTACACCCGAAATGAAAGCTAATGACATGAAGCTGCTTCTAGATTACTTCTTTTACTTGACAAAGGTTCTAAACCCGTAATATACTATACGGAAAACTCATATCAGGCGTATTTAAACAACCCGAATTATATATAAAACTTTTAATTGCAAACTCCTTGGTAATAATTGACAAAAATTCATAATATTTCACTCCTGACAACCCTCTGAGGCGTCTAAAAAGAATATGGCCAATTAACGAACGATAGCTAGTTGCTACACATATTTCTTTACATTATTTTAGTAAGTTTCTGTACTATTTATAAATTTAGTTTGTAATTAGGTATTATACAAAATTTTATCTTAATGCGGCGCCGTGTTAGAGAGGCGAAAAGGAAAAAAATATTGTCAAAATCCAATGATAATGACTTTTATTCAAGATATGGATCAAAATATCTCAGAAACTAAAAATCGAACCTGCGTACTGTTTGTGAAGTGAAATGTTCAACATTTCATCGTCTTTATAATGAGCGATTATTTATAATTTATATTTCATATTATTAACGTGGATAAACGTGGATAAAACTAAATATATGGTTAGCTGCGAAAATGGCGATACTACTGGTGATATCGATATAGATGGTAATATGTTTGAACAGGTAGATAAATTTAGGTATCTAGGTTCTACGATAACTAGAAAAAACGAAATTGAAGAAGAGATTAAGGTTAGACTGAGGGCGGGAAATGCTTGTTATTTTTCTGTGACAAAACTACTTAGTTCGCGCCTCTTGTCCCGAAACTTAAAAATTAGAATCTATAAAACAATTATCTTGCCTACAGTCCTTTATGGATGCGAAACTTGGCCGCTTACATTAAGGGATGAGCAGCGTCTTAAGGTTTTTGAAAATAAAGTATTGCGTAGAATATTCGGACCGAAGAAGGATGAGTTAACCGGAGAGTTCAGACGGTTACACAACGCCGAATTGCGTGAGCTGTATCCGGGTAATATAATTGAGGTAATTTCATCGCGGCGAATCAAATGGGCTTGTAAAGTTGTTGGGCTTAGTAACGAGAGAATTCCTAAAAGGTTAATATTTGCTATGCCGAATGGTAAGCGTCCGAGGGGTAGACCGAAGCGAAGGTGGGAAGATTGCATTAAAGCCGATCTGAAGGGACTGGGTTTGGACGGCGAACGGTGGAGGGAGGTGTGTAACAAGCGATTGGTGGTGTCGGCATCGAACCTTCGGGTTCGCTAAGCCTTATTATTATTATTTCATATTATTAATCTCGCCTTGTTCATGTATTCACTTCTATCCTGTGGCCTAAAGCACCCACCTTAGTTATTTAGTAACTATAGTTATTAATATTATTATTATTATTATTAACTCCTTATTGTTACTCCTGCTCAGGTAGCACCCGGGAGTTGAGGGTGCCGGACAGAGTGTACCGGGAAGCGGTCCAGCTGCTCAAGGGAAGATCCGAGTTCACCCTCACAGCCAGCGCCAGGCAGGAGCCGCTCAACTCCGGCTCTCTCATCGCTTTCTCATCCGGCCTCAACAGGTAATATCATCATCAATAAATAGCATTATTTAAGGTATGTATATATATATATATATATATATATATATATATATATATATATATATATATTTTTTTTTTTTTTTTTTTTTTTTTTTTTGGTGCTACGGTCCTGTAGGAACCTGGGCCTCTCTTATTATGATCCTTCGCCACTCTCCTCTTTCCCGAGCGAGCATTCTCCATCTTCGAATTCCCATCCTTTTCAGGCTGTCCTCTACCTGGTCCAGCCATCTCAGGCGTGATCTGCTTCTTCCACGTTTTCCAGCAGGCCGACCCTCCAGCAAGAAGTCACATGGCCCAACCATCTGATCTGGTTTCCCCCTACGGGCTATAGATCCTGGAGAGAACCCTTCTCTCCCATGCAGGGTTTCCAAATGTTAAAATGTTGATAGTAGACATAAAAAAGTTTCCGATTTCGAGCATAAAAGTAGGCAATTTAGGAATTGTGTGTTTTTAAGCTAGTCGCGTTTTATATTGAATAGAATGTGATAATGTTTTTTTTTTCTTTCTTAAAAAACTCATTTTACAGCTGAAGTGTCATTTACAGAATAAGGTCTTTTTCATCACAAGCCGTGCTCCAAGAGACTTGGTTGAAGGTTTCAATGCGGTCCGCGGGATATAGTAAACATCTCGATGTGGCATGCGGGCCAAAAAGAGACTCCTGGTATGAACAAAAAGAAAGATATGATGCCTGAACAGCTGGGAATACATCCACTGTCAAGAAGGTAGAGAAAGAGGACCATAAAACATAGAGGAGAAAGACCAATAATGAAGTGCTCACAGAAACTGGTAAATCAATATCTCATGAGGTGAAGAAATGGAGGTTAAGATGAGTGTATGAAGCTTGGAACTATTCGTCCAAAACCCTCTACTCAAAAATGAATGCCTTAATACCAAGCAAAAGTCCACGTTGGAAGACCAAGAATTTGATGGATAGATCGAATCAACAAAGAAGCATAGAGCAGTGTGCACAAAACTTAAAAGAGAAGACTGATTAAGGTGGAAAAATATCTGTTAATGCCAAGATATATATAGACATATATAGGGTGTCCCGTAAGTAGAGGGAAATATTTAAAAGGTTGATAGTATAGTCAAGATATACAAAAAAGTTCATATAAATATCTGGCCAATTTTCAGCAGAAAAGTAGGAAATTTAAGGTTTGTAGATTTATAAGTGAGTAACGTTTTTTGTCGAATACAAAGCGTTAACTTAAAAAATAATTGAGTTAAGTAACTAAGCATTACTCCACAGTAAACTAGACAAAATTTAATTTAAAAGAAAGTAGAATTTTTCATTGTTAAAACTATTTAAAGACGATGTTTTATTATTTTATCAATAGTAATCAGTAAATCAACAAATCAGAAAATACAGATTTTTCAATCTGTGGATTTTAGTAATTACCTGACGTTAAAATTTCTTGGATTCTTTAATTTTTTTAATGTCGTTTGGATTTAGGTACATATGAATTTCGCTGTAAAATACTTTTGGTGGAATAAATAAGTAAATAATCTTGTTACTTCATGTTTAAAAAAATAATTTACTATTTCGTTGTTTACGTTTTAAACAATGTTTCTTATAATTTTGAAACATGAAAGAAACATAGAAATAAAACGTATCTAGGTGATTGTTATCATCAAAACAATGCTCTGATATGATACTATAACCTATAAACGCCGAATCGCCAACAGCTCCACTGCTTCAGGAGCGGTCAGGTAGGAACAGTCTTAAAGCCGTTTGGATCGGGCGCACAGCTAAGTTCCGTTTAAAAAAAAAAAGTCATAAATTATTAGTTTTTTTTTTTTTTTTTTTTTTTTTTTTTTTTTTTTTTTTTTTTTTTTTTTTTTTTTATCACCCTTCAACTCATCAACTTCAAACCCTTAAACTTCAAGATAATCATAGCTAGTTATTTATTCATATTTACCCCACTTGTAGAAAAACTTCCTCCTTTAAGTCCGTATTAATTAAGTGTATGTTTATTAACTTTCAGATTTCCCCCAAATTATATAAAGGAATGGTGATGATTTCCTATCCATTTATCTTAAAGTACCCATTTTTTCTGTAAAAATGACTACAATTAACTATAGCAAAGCTTTTATTTATTGTTTTTTCATGATATGGGATGTATTTTAATAAACACAATTGTCTAAAAACACATTTTATTTATAGATATAAAAAACTAAAAAATAATAATATTTTAAGTATTTTTCACCTAAAGTGGTTATGGAACTGTTTTATTCCCGGAGATCCGTCATAGGAATTGATATATATTTATAAGTGACAAACTTAATGATTCTATCTCTATGTTTAGGAATAAAATAAAGAAACTTGCTTATTAATTAAATTATTTCCATGAAAACGTTAATATTAGGGCCAGGAACATTATGTTTGTTACTTATACTCATTAATTCCTACGAAAAAAATTTGGGAGAAAAACACAATTTCAGAACCACCGTACTTGAAAAACATTTAAAAAATCATTATTTTAATTTTTTATTATTTTTATAATTAAGTTTATTCACACGCAATTATTTTTATTACATTACATTCAATATCATAGAAAAATAAGATACAAAACCTTTCCAACAGTTAAGTTTTGTCATTTTTGCTGAAAACACCTTTAAGTGACTGGATAGAAAATCACATCATTTTTTAACACGGCATTTTTCCCAATAAACCTCAACTTAATTAATATGGAGTTAACGAGGAAGTTTTTGTAAAAATTGGATAAATGTAGTGCACTTGAAGGGTGATAAAAAAGAAATTCAATATAATTTTTAAACAGAGCTTAGTTAAGCTGCTCAAAAGTCCTGTTTAAATAGTTTTAACAATGACAAATCCTACATTCTTTCAAATTAAATTGTGTCTAGTTTACTACGGCGCCATGTTTAGTTAGTTAAATCAATTATTTTTTTTAGTTTACGCTTCGTATTAAAAAAAAAAACAACGTTACTCACTAATAAATCTACAAATCTTAAATTTTCTACTTTTATGCTGGAAATTGGACAACTGTTTGTATGAACTTTTTTGTAGATCTTGATGTCTGCAATCAACCTTTTAAATATTTCCCTCTACTTACGGGACAACCTATATATGTGTATATATATATATATATATATATATATATATATATATATATGTGTGTGTGTGTGTGTGTGTGTGTGTGTGTGTGTCTGTGTCTGTGTGTGTGTGTGTTTTTCCCTCTTGGAATGAACAGATATTTTTCCACCTTAATCAGTCTTCTCTTTCCAGTTTACTGCATCCTGCTTTATGCTGCTTTGTTGACTTGATCTATCCATCAAATTCATGGCCTTCCAATGTGGTCTTTTGCTTAGTATTGAGGCATTCATTTTTGAGTAGAGGCTTTTGGACGAATAGCTCCGAGCTTCATACTCCGCCTGTCTTAACCTCCATTTCTTCACCTCATGAGATATTGATTTACCATTTTCTCTGAGCAGTTCATTATTGGTCTTTCTCCTCTATGTGTTAGTGGCCTCTTTCTCTACTTCTTGACAGTGGGAATCTTCCAAACTATCCAGACATCGTGTTTTTCTTTTTGTTTAGACCAGGAGTATCCAAACGTTTTGGCCGAAGGCCACATTAAGCCTCTATTATGTCCCGTGGGCCGCATTTAAACCTCCACTTCAGCTGTAAAATTAGTTTTTTAAGAGAGAAAAAAACATGAAATAAATGTTGTAATATCCTCTTGTGTGAGTAACTTGCTAAATTTGATATTTTCCTAATAGTTTTTAAAATCCGAACATGTAATTATTTTACCGTAGTTTGAAGTACCCTTGTCAAGAGTTTTATTCCAAGTTCTCTTGCGGACTCTCTTCTCCCAAATCTTCCAATAGACTACCTCAAACCTCTCTAATGGACTCCCTCATTCCCTTTTTCGTTTTTTAGTATTGGTCGAATTGCTGTTGTATGGAAGGATTAAAAAAAAACCTTCATTATATCCATGTGCGAATTTACTAGATGTATTTTTGGTATACAGTTGTAAATATCATAAAAATAAATAAATAAAAAAACAAAAACAATTAGGACACTTATTCATCGTCCAAATCCTCCATCTCACCCCCTATTCAACTCTGACCATCCGACAATCCTCCCTTGCTATAGACAAGAAATATATTGTACATATATCTCAACCACTAACCAAATATCTTGTAGGTACCTGGAACTCCAGTCGAGCGGACGAAAAGACGAAGTGCGACTCCACTACACCTCACCGTCGGAGCCCGGAGTCCGGGTCGAGACCTTCCCCTACAGGCTGGCCGACTCTTCTTGGCATAGGATCGCCCTGTCAGTATCCGGACCGCAGGTACCCCTTATTCCTCTAGTTCTTGCCATGTATCCTTATATTCTTTGACATACTCTGAGAGCCACTTACCTCCAGGTGGAGCTGGTGATAGACTGCCACCCGGTCTACAGGAGGGCTCTGGCGAGGCCGCTGGACACCAACTTCAGTTCGCCGCAGCTCTCGCTCTGGCTGGGGCAACGGAACAGCAGGCATTCTCTCTTTAAGGTAATTCTATCATTATATTATTCCTAAATATAGTATAAGGTGGATTCAAGAAGATTTTCTTTTCTTCAGTTCCTTTTTAAGTTAACATTGAAATACGGTATTAGACGTCTTCACTTAGAAGATTTTTCGAAGGATTAAAAGATTAATGTTACACGATGACAGTGTTCAATGCACTAGAGAGGGGAGATGGAAATAGAACTATAGATTTTTTATTTTACTATAGATTTTTATTTTTAGAAAAGAATAGAAAAATCATCTTTATTTTGGGAGTAGGTCCCTCGAGAATAATAATATTGTTTAAACCAATTGACAATAAATCTGGCCAGATGGCCAGATAATAAATTTGTTTATGACCAATTATAGTAAAGAGTAACTACACTCTAAATAATAAAATGTGTACATACATAGTTTTGGAGGGTATATTAAGGAAAGCGGATGGGTACAACGGTTACGATATTATAATATTGGTCCAAAAAAACAACAACATACTTATAACTAAATAAAATTGGAAAGAAATGCTAAATAAGTTTTATATGTAACCAATTTTAGTGCTACAAAATAATAAAAAAATAAATAAAAATAACTAGAGTAAATAAATGATTTATATATGTTCATTAAGACGTTTACGTGAAAACTTGTATACAAAAAGTATTGTGATCTACCTATGACGCAATAGATTACGAGCAGAAAAAGAAAAAACAAACACATACATATACATATCGACATAGAGAGGAGAGTGCAGAAGATAAGTAAAAAATAAAATACTATTAAATAAAATAAAATACACTTAAAAAAAATACACTCTTATGAATAGAAAATATAAAAGGTAACAAAAACAATAAAAAATTATACCTACTCACAATGCTTTGTAAGAGGTGATCGAAATTCTGTTTCATACTCAAAACAGAAGAAAAAATAATAACGTATAAAGAAAATTAAAACCTTGTTGTATAATATATATTTAGCCAGCATCTGATTGAATTGTGAAGAGGAATTGGAATAAAAGGGTTTTAATTGTGGATAAGGATGGTGCATTGTGCATGGTGGATTTTTAATGGTATGGAATTCCAGAATGCAGTGGAAAGGGATAACAAAGGAATGTTTAAATGAGCCAGATTTGTGTAAAGGAGTGTAAAGGTCAGAAGGACGGGATCTTGTGGAGAGGGTGTGGATTGATGATTTGAATTGTAGGAAATTGTATGCGTAGGACGGACGATGATTATTGATTATTTGGTAAAGGAATGTGCCCAGGAAATATTGCCTTCAGAAGGAAGAGAAGAGACACCCTAACTGAGCACAGTGGTGAGAAACACGGGAATGTCTCGGGGTTCCAGTGACAAATCTTATGAAGGCATTCATAATTCTTTTCATAACTGCATATACTTCATAAAATAAAGTGCAGCACAGAAAACAATAATATGTAATTATTAACAATAAGGTTTATTGACCTTAAGTGGTAGGATGCGCGGGCTGAGGCGTGTGTAAATTACGCGTGCCCGGCAACCAGATGATAAACCGAATATTACGAGTTTGAATCCCGGTGCCAAAACTTTTATAAGTTTGGTATAATTCCGTCGCTCGCTCCTCTTTCCCGGGAAAAAACCGTATAGCCTAAAAGGCGAGGAAGGCAGCTTAACAAAAATTAGATCTAGTGGCAATTGCCCGACATCACAAACGAATGATTACGAGTTCGAGTCCCGGTGCATGAGACTTTTAACTCTCAATTTCATCCTTTGCTCTTCCCTCTATTCGGAAAAAAAAAAACCTACAGAAGAAAAGCTGAAGTAGGAGAGAAAAAAAATATATATTAGCTCAATAGAATATATATGTGCCCCTCAGCAAGAGGACACCAAGTCCATTTCTTTATAAAACAATTCAGTAACTAAGAAAACAATTTTAAATGGCAAAGTTATGGAAACAAAACAACCTAAACAAATATAAAAATGTGACATGATGTCCTTTACTTCCGGAGTATAAACATAATATAAATTATTCTAATAATCGTTTACTAATTAGAATATCTTACTAATGTAAAAATATTTTTCCATCTCGAATTTCTGTAAATATTTTTTTTTTTTTTTTAATCACCTAAGAATAATGTCCTTTTCTAGTCCTTAAAGTGTATAAACAATCAGTACGACAGTAGCAAGAGAATAATCAGAAATACAAACTTCGTTGAGAGAGGGATCCGAAATGTGTCAACAATGTCAGAGCAACACTTTGTGTTGATTTAAAATAATCCATCAACAACAGCTTAATGGACTATTGATTACTCACGTAAACAGAACAAGTGCATTAGCCAGTGCAGTTGTTTATCTTTGTGTTGTAAATGTTACAATGTGTGAAGGTATTATCTTCTTCGTCGTGGGTTTATGGTTGACTGTAGTGAATAATTCAAGAGAAGGATGGTTGAGGTGTTCAATCAAATTGAAATAGTGAAAAATAAATAATTTTATTTATTTTTACTTTCGCCGACATTTCGGCCCGAATTATAGGCCTTCTTCAGGGCTGGGGATAGAAACAGATAACAATAGACATAATAACATTGAATAATACAGAATTAAGATTTAAAAAAAAAAAGAGTGATAGGTTAAGACTAATAATTTTTAGTAGAACAACTTAACGTAAAATGAAGTAGATAGAATGAATATTAAAGTAAAACAAAGTAGATAGAATGGTGACAGTAACAGAGAACTAAGAAATAAATAATAATAACTGCAACAAAACATGGACCAATGAAATAAGCATAATAAAATACAAGGTGACACAATCTAGACGACCCAATGTTTTTGTAGGCCACCTTTCTTATCGATTATGGGATCAATTAATTTTACGATCTAAGTAGAAAGCAAATGGGTATTTAAGAGTTTTTTGTACCTAATTAATTAAATAGGCAATGTTTTCCACCCTCCAGATTGAAAACTCCCCAAGAGATTACGTAAATAAAATAGTTTTAGGTTACGATGAGATAAAACTTTTTACGAAGTTTCAGCCGAATGTTAAAAATTCAATAAAAAAAGTGTCCGTACCGCGGACTACAAGATTTGTGTTTTTTTTAAGTGTCATGTTTTTTGTTGAATAGGAACCTATAACTACAAAAACATTAAATTTAAATAATTACGAATTGCTTCACTGTTAACTAGATAATATTTACTTTTAACGAAATCAGAGTTCTTTATTATTAAAACCATTTAAAGGGGACTTTTGTGTGGTTAAAATAAGCTTAATTCTGTTTTTAAAAATCAAAAATTGTTCGAGACTTTTTTTGTCATCATCAAACTATACTACAGATAACCCAATTTTAGAAAAACTTTTTCTATTTTAATAAGATTTTAGTCCATATTTAGTAAATCGAGGTTTTCTAGTCAAATACTTGAGATTCAATTCGAGTTATGTACAAAATGTACAAATGAACAAATGATGCGCTTTTTATCGTGTCACCTAAAACCCATGTTTACAGAAAAAATGACTATAGTTAACTATTTCAAAGCTTTTACTTCTTGTTTTTTCATGATCTGAGATATATTATAATAGACATGATTGGTTTAAAACACTTTTATTAATATACAAACAAAATTCAATTTTTTTTGGTTTCATGAAAGTAGTTATGAAGTTGTGTTTTTTTCCCAGATAATAGGAAATCATAAAAATAAAATGATAATAATAAAATAATAATAATAAAAAAACAAAATTAAAAATAATAAAAATAAAATAATAGGAATCTGTAATAGGACTTTATCCGCATTTATAAGTGATATACTTTATCTTCCTGGATCTAATATTTATGTTTAAAAGAAAGAAACCTGCTGATTGCTTCAATTATTTTTTTTAGAAGCGGAGTGGCTGTAGTATAGTTGGAGAATGATAAAAAAACACGACTAATTTACAGTTTTTTTAAAAACAAAACAGCTAAGTTTAACCGATCAAAAGTCATCTTGAAAGTCCACCGTAAAAGAAAAGAAGATGTATATATGCCCAAGTTTTTTATTCCTTAAACGATCCATCAGTTCAATAACTTAATAATCGTATTTGTAGATAAACCAAATCGAAAAAGTTTTGTGAGGGTCCACTCTTTTTTTTTCAAAATAACGATTATTTTTTTTTACTACTTCATTTGAATACAGTAATGATTTCCTTAAACCAATCACCTTTCTACCTCCCACTAATTGGGGACTTTCACGGTAGATCGTAGCTACGATAGAAATCGATTTTACACAGAAAATATACCAAGTTATAAAAAGGAAAAAATCATTTTAAGAACTAAAAAATCGGGTGTGTCCATTCACACGACTTTCTTATCTATTTCACAAAAGTTATCATAACTATACATATGTACATCAAGAAAAAAAAATTAATTAGATTTAGTTTCCTCAAAAAATTGATCAAAAACAGATTTGAGTACGATTTATTTGATAAAATAAAGCAATGTAAACCGGTTTAAGATAGATCAGTGTAAAAATTTTAATGTCCTCTAATATTGCTGATCAAAAACTTTTTACCATAGCCTAATTTTGTCAAACAACAATTTCAGTTAAAAGTAGAGGAAATAGTGAAGCTTGTGTGATGCGGACAACAGATTTTCTAAATTTCACTTAGTTATCTTTTTTCTCTCATTCACCTTCGTTAATAGTTGTCCGAAATGAACGATTTTTATATAGTTTTGCAGATAATATCATCACCAAAAAAAAAACACGTAAAAACGTACAGATCCGTCGAAAACCGCATATCGGAAATTTGTCCCGATCGCAATAGAATGAGTTTTGTCGTCGGTAATACTGGTTCGATTCCGATGATTTTCTTTTTTTTTGGTAATTTAATTACTTTTCAAAAATTTTATTATAAATTATACCATAGAATACATACTTAGCGAATTAGGCCCCAAGACAATCTTCTTTTCTTTATTAATTTTTTTCCTGAATTATATCGGGAATTTAGTTTACGTGCGAAAATTATTGGAACATTATAGACAAGTTTTATCAAAATCATCAGAGCAGTTTTCG